CCCCCACCCCCACCCCAGTTTGGTAATTTAAGTGTAATTCTTCTTAATCCAGCTTTAAGCTGATGAAGTTGGTGGGAAATAATAGCTACCTTTATATATGTGTGGAGATGTCATATGAAAAGGGTAGATTTATTCTGTTCAGCTCCAGGAAGCAGAAACATGACTGATGGCAGAATCTACCTAAAGGAGGTTTGGCTCTAAATAAGAAAATCATCCTTGGAGAGCCTCTCCTAGTTTAGATGAAATTTTTTTTCTTGAGCTCTAACCATGCCAGGCACTAGAATTTCAACACACAGGTCTTGCCCTTGAGATGTTTCTGGTTTAATAGGGTATCCAACGGAGATGGATAGGATTGGACAGGTAGTGGGTATATTTTAGTGGTAGAGCCAACAGTACCCATTAGAGGCGAAGGGGTACAAGAAATCAAGGTGTTCAGCTTTTTCCAAGATAAGGAAAATGGTTTGGGATATGAACAATGACTTTAATTTGATCCTTCCTGTTAAGCTGGCTGTCACCACGTGACATCTCAGTAGTGAGGATGACTGGGCCACCATATTGTGAAACAGAAGACATGGAGCCTTAGTATGCTCATTAATGTGCTCTTAAATGTCTGTTCCAGCCTCTGAAAATGATTTACTGAACAAGCGCCTAAAGCTCGATTATGAAGAAATCACTCCTTGTCTTAAAGAAGTAACTATGGTGTGGGAAAAGATGCTTAGCACTCCAGGAAGATCCAAAATTAAGTTCGACATGGAAAAAATGCACTCGGCTGTTGGGCAAGGTAAGCCTTATCAGGAGTCAGTCCAGCCAGCCTCACCTGCCGTCGGTGACTGGGGAGAAGTATGGAATAAAAAAATGTTAAATACAATTTTGGTGGCCATCTCTCTCCTATTTATCACATTTTTATTTAATCTGTTTTCAGATTATCATAGTTAATTGATGTGTTTCATCACCTTTCATGATTCTTCTTAATTAAATCAGTTAAAATGCCCAGAAGACCAGGAAACAGGAAAAAATAGAGGAAACCCCAGAAGCTTAGTTGACTACAGACCGTTAATAATATGCCGATACACTCTGAGTTAAATTGTAAACTAATAAGTAATTTTGTGGCCTCTGAGTACTTTCGGGGGACAACTTGGCACAGACTTCAAACAGGTACTTTCGGGGTTAGATTCCAAACCCCGCCAGTTTGCAATGTGATCTCAGGCAAATGACTTAACCTCTCTGAGCTCCACTTTCCACGTGTGTAAGATGTGGGTGATGACTGTGGCTGTTTTGAGGAGTGAATGAGCTGATACCTAGGAGCATACTGCATGCGTCTGCTCCATGAGAAGGCCCCGGAGAGTGGGCAGGATTTGCTATGTGTTTTTTTGTTTGTTTGTTTGTTTTTTAGTGTAGTGTGATGACTGTGTGTCAGTCTGAACTGTTACTGGCCCAAGATAAGTATAGAACTTCAGACTGACATTTAGAAACTTTTCCAGCAATTTGACAGTGATTCTGTTGTATTTAGTCAGTCTTTTTTTTTTTTTTCTCATTTCATTTTTCTACTAATTCATTTTTACTGTATTTTATAAAAGCATTAGCAAGATTGGAAGCTTTTTGAGTCTAATTCTGGTGCTACTGAGTTCTGTCCAGTCTAGTCATGAATAACCAAGTGTTTAAAAAAAGGGTTGCAAATATACATAAATCTTGGTTTTTTTCTGACTTTATTAGCTACTTGATGGAAGAAGCTACGCATGCATCATTCATCTCTAGGAGTAAATGAAGTGAAGTGTTTTTTTCCTAGTATTGTCAATTAGGCATTATTTAACCTTTATCTGAGTTTTGACAGCATCAATTTTAGTAATGTGTAATTATTGCTAGCGTGATTGTCCCCTTTGTATAGATAAGGAAACTTGGACTTCAAGCAGTTGAGTAATAGGCCCAGGGCCACAGAGCTGGTCTCATACCCTAGTTTTAGGCACCATGTGACTGGCACTGCCTGAACTACGCCTCGGCACTGCTGGTCTCAGAGACCAGAAATATGGTGGGTGATGAGGACTCAGGTTTTAAATTGGCCAGGGCTCCCTCTGTGATCCAGGCTTTGGCCTTCTGGCTGCTAGAATGAGAGGCATGGAGCAAGCACAGGATCTTAGAGCTCTTTTCCAGTTCTTACATTCTTTGCACCCATAACGGTTGCTGGAGGCTTACCATTGCACCACATTGCCCCAGGTTGCCGTTTTGAAAAAGAGGAAAGCAAAGAAAAGATTGAGTCTGTTTTTTTCCTTTTTCATTGTTGACTACATGATGGTCTTCAGGTGGCTTTTCTTCTACAGAAAGCAAACACTTGGGTCTGTGACAGCTGTTCTAGATGTTTGAGCTTAGAAGCCTGGCACCTGCATATATTGGTTTTCATCATATTTCTTATGAGGGCGACTAATAGAAATACTCTAAGCATCTAGAACATATTTAGTGGAGTTAGGGATAGATGTTTGAACGATTTATATAATGAGGTGAACTAATCTGGAGTTTCCTCATGTATCCTCCACATTGCCACATCACCTTCTGTGGCAGGAACTCTGTATCTCTAACTGTAAAAGGGGCTTTGTCAGTTATTCATCTAGTTTCAACACATAAAATTGAACAACCCCAAATAAATGGCCACCGTCCGTCTTGTAGCTCAGAATAAAAAAACAAGATTGAGTCAGGACCACATCTTTGGCCTTTCGGGTAGAGAGGCCAAGTCACTTCCAAGGTCTTGAAAGAAAACAGTCCCTGTGTGGGTAAGAGGCCGCTTCTTAATGATCTCAAGGCCCCTCAGTGATGGAAATAAAGGGCTCTATCAACTTCCTAAGTTAAAACAGAATCAGAGTATCAGGATTAGAATGTCAGCTTGGGAGAAGGAGGACTAGTTCTGTGGAATTTTAAATAATCCAGAATTTAGTTTGCGTTTAAATGATTTCTTTTATCTAATGACTTATTTAAATGATTTCATTTCTTTAATAATTAAAAGATGTCAAGGTAGAACTTTATAAACTAGAGTGTACTTTTCTAGGAATGGAATTGCAAAGAGGCCACCTGAGCAGTTGGCAGAATGGGCCAGATGCAAACTCTGCTTACCTTCTACCCAGCAATGCCATGCATAGAAACCTTTTCTAGAAATTAATCAGTCAAAAGTGTATGGCAGTAGGAAGAATACTTATTGTGGCATTAATAGCCAGAGAACAAACAGAACCAAAATCCTCAACCGTGTGACCCCACCCATGTCCTAAATTTGTATTTACTGATGTAAAAGATAAGTCGTTAAATGAAAGAGTACAGATGTCACGTACACTTGTATGTTTCTGTGTGTGTATCTGTAGAAAAACATCCGTGACGTGTCTGCAGATATCTGGGAATAGGCAGGATGACCATACATCTGGGTTGCCTGGCATAGTCCTGCTTTACAGCTCATTCCAGCAAAATAATTAATAGCCTTCCTCCCCTTTGCTTTCCAAAGCCTCGTGCTCCGGATGGCTAATTATATGTTCACTCTAGTAGTGGGTGGTTTTTCATTTTCTTTATACCTTTTGCATTTCCAGAAGTTTTTTTTCCCCCTTTTTATTTAAATGGTAAGTATACACTTTTAAAAGTAAGTATATACTTTTAAAATCATAAAAATAAAAAAGATGTTTACATCTGAGGGGAGGGTGGCCCGCCTGCAGGCCCTAGGTAGACTCGACCGCCACGTTTCTCTCTTGGGTTCGGAGTGGAGGCAAACCAAGTATGGGGAAGGATGTTCTAGATCATTCTTAGCAAAAAAATTGGCTCCACTTTGTATGACCCTTTGTTTTTAAATCACACATCTAAGCTTTCTCTTAAATACCAGAATATGTGGTACTATTCAGTGACACAGCCAATATTCTTTTCCTCCAAAAAATAAAGGTCTGATAAGATAATGGGAATGATTTAGCAATCATTTAGTAGTAAAAGAGGAAATTGGTCATCTCATAGCTTGGGAAAATTTCCCATTTTGAAAAAAATATTTTGTGAAAAGCCCCACTATAAATCACTTAATGTGCTGACTGTTTTCCAGGCAGCATTTACTTCTAATATGGTTTGAAGTATTAAGGCTTCTGTGTGTGTGTACACACACACACACACACACACACACACACACTAAGTTATATCTCTGACCAGGAATAGTAGGGAGAGAAGGGAACACACACACACACACACACACACACTAACACACACTAAGTTATATCTCTGAGCAGGAATAGTAGGGAGAGAAGGGTTAGAATAATGTAAAAACATAGGGCGTATTAGCTTCCTGTTGCTGCTGTAACAAATTATCACAAAATTAGTGGCTAAAACAACAGAAAATCTCAGTTCTGGGTCAGCAGTCTGAAGGCAAGGTGTCAGCAGGTCTGCATTTGGCCTCTCCCAGCTTCTGGTGGCTGCCGACATTCCTTGAGTTGAGCTGCATCACTCCAGTCTCTGCCTCCATGGTCACATGGCCTCCTCCTCTTGTCTTCCCTTCTGTGTGTCTTTTATAAAGACATTTGTCATTGGATAGAGGGCCTACCTGGATAATCCCAGGGGATGATCTCATTTCAAGATCTTAATTATATCTACAAAATCCCTTTTTCCAAATAAATTAACATTCAGGAGTTCTGGGGGTTGGGATGTAGATACAATCTTTCCGAAGGCCACCATTCAGCCCACTACACCAGATTAACGCTAAGATAAATATTCAGAGAAGCTATAGGGTGTGGTCACAGTTAAGTGTAAGCTTGTATTTCTCCCACAGGCTGCTTTTTGTTAGTTTTTTTTACGACTGGTATCCGTAAGGCAAAAAACAAATTACTTACTACACTTTAAATATTTTCCAAGAAGTGGCTGAGTGTGGATCGAGTAATAAATGGACTACTATCTGGTTCAAATCCACAGATGATTATTTTGTTATTAATTGCCAGGTAGGAACATAAATATTTTTTTTCCAGTACCTGCCTGAGCAGCAGCTGGTGTGACAGTTCCGACAGGGAGGACATCAATAGAAAATGGCCCTTTCCCTGGGCTGCCACTGCCCAGCTGGGTGATCTCGGGCGAGGGACCTACTCTCCTTGGCCTCCGCTTCCTATGTTTACTAGGAGGATAATCATAATATTTCCCTTAGCAGGTTGTGAGGGTGACACAAAGGACTCAGAATGGCCTCGCAGTAAACGGTCGCTGCTGCTGCTACCATCTTGCCAGCAGACGCGTTCCTCAGCGATGGCCAGTGGGAAACCAGAGAAAATGACCTTCCTGGGGAGGCTCTTTGGTTCATCATTCAGCTGTCACAAGGTCCAGATGTAGAAATGAGGAGAGAAGGGAGTGGCGGGCAGGTGTACAAAGCGGTCACATTTTTTTCTGTCTGGAGGAAAGATTAATCCCTGATTCAGTGGTTCCTTTTCTCTCAGGAGAAGTCCTGTCAGAGATGAGAAAGATTTGGCGCCCCATTCTACAGTCTTCTTTCTCTTTCCATTTCTGCATTTGGACCTTGTGACAGCTGAATGACGAACCAAAGAATTTTGAATAAAAACTGTCACTTTCTCTAATGAAGTTTGCCATAAATAACATTATTGACTTTAAGAGAACTTTTTTCAGTTGTAGACTTTTTTCTTTTTCTTTTTCTTTTCTTTTTTTTTTAATCACTTTGAGTGTTCAAGTTAATCGTATTTAAAACATTAGGCAAAGTCTCTTGGATAATTTATCTTATTTTTAGGCCTCCATTGAATGCTTACCACACCAAGTTTATGCAGACGGTGCCCTGTCTAGCCTCTGGTTCTTCCTCCAGCCTGCCCTTGCAGAAAGATAGCTGATCAATACCCTATAATCTCAGCCTCGATTAGGCTATTTCGTCCCCAACTTCATGGACCCCTATAAAATGCAGGTTTCTTGCCCTCAGTTTTGCCTCTAACAAAACCTGACTGCCACCTGCACCTCCCCACGTGTGCGCTGTGCCCAAGGCCACAGAAACACTCACAGCCACAGTTCCCTTCCTCTGACTTGTCCTGTCTCTTCCTGCCCCCTGACTCTGAAGTTCTAGAACAAGAGAAGGGTTCTCTGAAATCTCCATCTCCTTCATCTGAACTCACGTCACTTTGATCATATCCCTTTTATGAGACGACATTCTGCGCTGCAGTATTACATGCTTGGTCTTGTTTCCCTAGGATGTGATTATTGGCATCAGATAGGGGCTCATGTCATTCACTGTTTGTCCCTGGCAAATGCTAGCATAATCCGAACATAGTATATATTTGAAATGTGAAAGGAAAGTGGGAGAGGATGAGGGGAGGGGAGGGGCAGAATGGGGAGTGTGGAAGAAGGAAGGAAGGGGCCAGTAGGATGAAATTTTGGTTGCTTCTTATGCTGTTAATTCATAATGGAACAAGAAATCAGATCATTGGAATGAAACACACTCATTTTTATTATTAAGGTGTATTCTGTACATAAAGTCTTTCTCTATATTTTCTACCCCCTGCCCCCACTTTGAAGGTGTGCCACGTCATCACCGGGGCGAAATCTGGAAATTCCTAGCAGAGCAATACCACCTTAAACACCAGTTTCCCAGTAAACATCAGCCAAAGGACACGCCGTACAAAGAACTCTTAAAACAGCTCACGTCCCAGCAGCACGCGATTCTTATCGACCTCGGTAAGTCTGCAAATCAATCTGACATGAGAATGGAAGTTTCTTTCACTCGAAAAATCTGGAGAGGCTGTCCGAGTTATTTAGTGATCTGCCTTTAGGTTTAGCAATCAGAATTTGCTACTGAGACTTTCAATTAAAAAAATGCCCCAGAGAAATCACAAATGTCTTCTCCAAATATATATAATAGTCTCTCTTTTCACTGGGCAGCTTGTTAACTCAGCTCAGCATCGGGGGTGACAGTCATGAAGGTTCCAGTCATGACCGGAGTTCAGGTCAGTAATTCACATATCGATTGGAGGCTTTTAGTCAACCAAACATTCTGGAAAACCTAAGTGTCAGGTCCGAGGCTCGGCTTAATTACAGGAGCCACGCCCTAGCCTTTACTGCTTCGAAACAGGATTTATTACAGAAATTGTAGAAAGCAGTTTGTGTGTGCCCAGGGCAATTTTATTTTGAGAAAAAAAAAAAAAAGGGTAGGCACCTTGCCTCTGGAACAGTTTTAAAAAGGCTAAGATGCAAACGGTGTTACTGGATGCATTTGCCACTGCCGCAGTGAAGGACGTGTGGAATGGGGATGTAATTATGCTGTACGACAGGGCCTTCTGACTTGCCAGCAGACACACATGGGGTGGAGGCGGGGCGCGCCCCCTTCTGTCTGCAGGGGCCTCCATCTCCGCTGGCGGCTGGTTCCCGGGCACCTGCTGGCCCCATGTGGAGGCCACAGGAACTTGGCCCTGCTGGCGGAATATTCTTCCTGGCTGCTGCTACGGCTGCCTGGGGCTCCCCAGAGCCCCGTTCTGTGCTTCAGGCCCTGCCGTGGCCTGGCTCTTAAGGTCCCTGCATTGCAGCAGCTAGGACAGAGGGAGCAGCTGGGTCAGGCCGCGTCAGGGCTTCCCTGTCCAGCCACACAGCAAGTCGTAAGTGCTGGTTTCATGAATGTTGCTCCTTGGTCTGAGCTCAGATGTCACCTCTGAGAAACTGACCCTGCCCATAGCCTCTTCTCCCCACTTCAGGCTGGATCAGGTACCTCTGCTATGCCATCTGTCCCACTTCATACTCTCCCTCATGAAACTTATTACATTTATTATTATAGTAATTATTATTATTGAAGGCTTAACTTTGCCTTACGCCAAATGTCGTGTGAAGTTACTTAACTACATTCTTTAATCCTCACAACACTATCAGAAAGTTATTGTTCTGTCCCTGCTTACGGTTGAGAAAATTGAAACGCAGAGAGGTGAAGTAACATGCTCAAAGTGACACAGCCGACGTGCTGCTGAGCAGGGTTACTCTGGGGCCAGCGCTCTGTCCCTTGCCCTTCCCCACAGCTGTCCCCCGTTATATGGCAGTGGCAGCAGCTTTATTTTATTGCCTTTCTCTCCATAGGACGCAGCCCTCTGGGGGCTGGACTGGGGCCGTTTTACCATTGTACCCTCAGCTCCCAGGACAGAGCCCGTCACATAGTAGATGTTCAATAAACCTTTTGAGATGTCAAAGACAAGGCACTGCACTAGCACCTCAATCTCATGGGACCCTCACAATAGCCCTGGGATATTGGCCCTGCATCCTGTTTAGGAAATGAAGAAACTAAGGCACAGAGAGGTCGAGTGGTGGCCACAGTCACACAATTAACTGGCAGGGCCTAAACTCACTGTGGCTCTGTGCTACAATAAGGGCCAGACGTCTCTGAGGTCCTCTGAGCCCAGGAGCCTGTGTGTTTTCATGGAAGTGGCCGGCTGGGTGAAGGGTGATGCTGACAGGTCATAATTACACCCAAGGACAAAGTGTGCAGCGTGGGGCTAGAGCTCGTTTGGCCCACTGACTCCAAGCAGAGCAGTCTTGTGAATTGGCAATAGCTGTGTTTGCTAATGTGATGAGTAACAGAAAAAATGACATCATGTTCCTATCATGTGAAATGAAGTGGAAAATAAAATTGAGAGTAGGAGATTGAAAGGGTGGGAGGACAGACGGTTTCTCTGCCGCCCTCCACTCCTCCCTGGGATGGAAGAAGAGAATGTGTTTTCCCTTCCTGGATTCAAATGTTGTCTCCCCTTAGTTTTCCTCTCATTCTTTCATGGGTGGGATCGGCCCTCCGTTTCACGTTGTTCAGATGTAATCACTTTTCTGCAGAGGGAAGGAAGAGGCCAAGTCAGCACGAGGGCCTGGGGGGCCCTCTCCCCAGGGAGCTGTGTTTGCTGTGTTGCCCTCTCCCCTGCCTGGAAGCTGCCTGCAGCCTTTCTTCCATTTGGCACGTGGTCTTTGTGAGCCAAGGTTCGCCCTTTTCTCATTCATGAGCAGAGCCAGGTTGCACTCACATCCTCTCCATCCCTGCCCATCTCCCATGCTCACCCTTCTGCACCCCCAAAGGCCAGCTGCAGCCACCACTCCCCGCCGACAGCACAGGCCTCCTCCCTTCACTTCTTCTCCAGTCCTGGCCCCCATTTTGGATGCCCTCCAATACCCTGCCGTGGCCTAAACGAAGCTATTTCCAGCAGTACGTTTCTCAGGTGACCTTTGCCTCTCTCCAGGCTTTATCCAGGACCTGCCAGGGCCCATTTTCTCTCCCACCTGAACTGGGGAAACCTGTGTGTTAGCCAAGACTTGACGGCAGTCCCACGGGGCCCTGCCTGCCAGGCTCTGCTTGGTTGGTCTCACTGAGAACTTGCTCCTAACTGCCCATTGCTGCCCTCTGCCCATTGCCAAGTCACTTGTTTAATCTGTACTTTCTATTTAGTGTGCACTATGGCTAACTCGAGGCCCAAGAAAGGTGTGTGGTGCAGAGCAGAGCAAAACAAATCATGTTTCACTTTTTCTTAAAAAGTGATCCATATCCTGGCCAGAAGAACAGAATACTTGTTGGTTGGACGTACTTTGAATTTTCATGGGTTTTTGTTTTCCTGTCTCTTGGCTTTTCTTTCTGAAATTAGCTACTAGTCTAATCAGTTTTTTGCAAGATTTTTTTTATCCAAAAGGAAGAGTAATACATTTTGTTTTGGGCAGTGTTTTACAGTTTGGGAAACATTCTCTAGCTTTGTCGGATCTCAGATTTATACAACCGTCCATGAAATTGGGTACATATTATTCCACTTTAGAGGTGATCAAAGAGGCCCAGAGAGGTTGAGTGCTTTGCCCAAGTTACAAGCTACTCTGTGGCAGAAAGTTCTAGAACCTTTGTCTTCTTAGTCTCCTTGTCACGTCCCTTCTAGGACACCTGTCTTTCTTGGCTCTGCCAACTCCATACCAGCACAGCTTTCCCTCCTGCAGGCAGGTGGCGTAAGGCTCCTTTGGAGCTGACCACACCCCGCCAGGAGAAAACAGCCTCTCCCAGGGCTTAGCAGAGGATGCTTCATGAAGCATTCTTGAGGCCTCAGTTCAGGAACCTGCCCCACCCATTAAGTCTGGTTTAAGCTACATCCATTCGTGCAGCCATTTCTTCTCTGGCTTTCCATCCTGGGTGGACAGTGTGGGCTAACAAGCATCCTGCCACCTGGCTGGACCTCCTGCTCTAGTCGTGGCCACACTACAGGCTGTTGGTGACTCTGAGCAACTAGCTGGACACCCCTTTCAGGCTCTACTTTATCCCTCCATCTTCTACCATGTCAGCTGCTCCTCCCACTGATGTTCCAGCCTGGACACCTTCCAGCAGTCAGCGCCTCCACCTGGTGAGGCTGTCCAGCCTCCCGCGATAGGAAGGATTTAGCTGAAACAACACGCGAACAGGTCCAGAAATGTAGGAACACCTTCGAACCAACAAAGACAGGACCTGTTCCTAATCTCCCCCACATCACTTACTTATCATTTTATTAATTTGTGCTTTATAGGTCAATAAAACGATGGCATCGCTTATATACCCTGACGAGGTGTGATGAATCTTTTGGTAACCAGAAGCAGCATATTTTGATGGATTTTTAGTGACTTTTTATCATTGACACCTAAACGGCATTATGCATGCCTGTGTCACAGCAGGAGGCAAAGTGTATATCCAAAGACGCATGCAGGTCAAGAATCCAGCATGGGAGCTGTCGTATTGATTTTTGCTTCCACTTAACATATTTTAACCGAAGGTATAAAAGATGCCTGGTATCTGGAAGCAAAGGAGCTCTTCTCCCAGTGTTATAAAAGAGAATTTATTTCCTTTTTGCTTTTATAGAATCCGTAAAAGACGAGGAGGAGAAGAGCTGCCAAGAGGAAGGTTCTGCTCAGAGAATTTAAGAGGACTAAATCTAGCCGGGCAACACTCGAAGCACACCGCACTCCACGCGTGGCCGTGCCACAGAGCATGGAGTGTGGTGTGCTTCGAGTGGTGGGTGGGCTGTTCTTTAACAGCAGATGGGTGCCAGTGAGGAGCACCACTTTCTGTGTCATCCTTGGGTCGAAGTCCCATGTGAGAAACTAAAAAGCACTGATGACAAAAGACAGAAAAGTCCCTAGAATTTGTCATGTTGAGGTCTTGTTATGTAGCAAACATGTCTGTCTGGTTGGGGACTTTGCTTTTTGAAGGTCACTTGAAGAATTACAACTCGGGACTTTAATAAATTCTTGCACCAACAGCTACACACACTTTTTTTCCAGAGGGTCTGCCATCGTTTCATAGTATCAAGACCGTATCATGAAATCATATTTATTTGATCATTTCATTCTAAATATGCTTTGAACCTCAAAGTGATCTAACTAAATGTGGGTGATAAAAGGAAAAAGTAAGGTGGGGTGTGACTGCATTTCTTTTCATAGAGATCTGAAATCTTCCTACAGTCGTTGAGCCAATCAGTGATGAGCTGGCAGGTGTTTAACAGCTGGGACCCCCCAGGCCCCTCAGATGAAGCCCTGGTGTTAGCATTTGCAGATTTCCATGGTGTAAATACTTCCGCCTTGGCTAATTTTAAGCCACCAACGTGATGTCACTGATGTAGAATTGGGCAGAGATGCGCGTGGAGCCAGAAGCAGCCCTTTCCAACTGCCACTACACTCAGCCAAACGTTTCCTAAAAATAATCTGCATATAGAAGAGCTCTCCCTTCTTACCCCTCGCCCCGGGTCATTCAGTGGCGATTCTGCAATACTTCTTGAGTGCCCACCGCATCCGGAGCATCAGTGCGGCCTGACCATCAGTGGCCATGGCTCTCTCATCAGACTGCCACAGTGCCCTCCTCTAGCAGAACCTTTCCCAAGAGGTACTTGTCGGAGGCCTGGGGACAGAGCATGAGAAATGCTTGTGCGGTTTCTTTTTCATGTCAGCTTACAAATTTTAAAGTTGTATGTGTGGCAGAATTTAGACTAAGGTTTGCTTTCTTGTAATGTACCGCTTGGTAGCAAGGCTGTGGGGAGGATGTCCGTAGCCACCCCTGGAGGCTCCCTAGGGGCCTGTCTCTCCCAAACACAGTGCAGAATTTGCAGGGTCTGTTGCAAAATAAAAATGCAGAACCCCTTGTGCAAATATTAAGAATTTCACGACGGTGACAGTAGATCATTAAACCCAGCATGAAGCCCTTCTACACGCAGAGCCAGTGTGACTGCACGGGACAGATGTCTGTGAAGACTCTGCCCCACTGTGGAGTGCCAGACTGGCGTAAGTCACTCCTCGGGCTGCCAGCCTCGTACTCTTAGGGGCCTTGTTCATTGAGAACTGTCCACTCCACGAGCAGGGCCAGTTAGTGCGAGCCCTTCTTTCTGTAATATAAGGGGATGTCTGGTTAGCAAAAATGATAATATTGAAGGATTATATTTAAAACCAATTTAAATGTTTCCTGGTGTCCCTCCATGCTGCAAGACTCCTGTGTGTTCTGCCACCTGCACCCATTTGAGACCCAGAGAGAGTGGGGAGGGGTGCGTGCCAGGCGGGGCCAGGGGCATGAGCAAGCCCGTGGAGGTGGCAGGTGCTCCACGTCTGCTTGGAGGCTGGCGGGGTGATGGAGTGAAGAGCTTCCCATATATTTTTGCCCTAGGCCATTTCAGAATCTGCGGAAAGCAGTGTATTTGTGCTGTCAGTATTTGTGCTGTCAATAGCCACGTGTGGCTATTGAGGACTTGAAATGTGAATTGAGATGTGCTGTCAGTATAATGAATACACTGGATTTCAAAAGGCTTAGTATGAAAAAATAGATATAAAATGTCTCAATAATTTGTGTATTGATTACATGTTGAAATGACAATATTTTGTATATGCTGGGTTGAACAGAATAATAGCTTATAAAAGTTAATCTTACTTGTTAGTTTTTAGTGTGGCCGCTAGAAAATTTTAAATTATTTATGTGGCTCCCTTTACAGTTCAGTTATACATGCTGCTGTGGACTAGGAAAATGCACAAGGGTAACCACACCCCTCATACTTCGCACATGCACACACTCGGTTCTGCTTGCAGCCTGGAGGGGTTCAGAGACTCGGAGAACCCCCTTACAGTTCCTAGGTTAACCCTGGAGTAGAAGATGAAGCTGGGAGGGTAGGTAAGGAAGTAAGTGTTCAGAGCTCCACTGGGGACCTGGAAAGTGATCGCTTTCCAGCAGTGGGACGTCACGTGCAGGGTGTGTTTGGGGAAGATATGTTAGGGGAAGAGGTAGAACAGGCCAAGAATGAATATAGGATAAGAAATCAGTAAAGTGGTTAGGAGACTGTTGCCATCCTCTTAAATCAAGTTCAGATAAACCGCTCTGGATTAATAAATGCTTTCTCGGGAGGCTGAGGAAGAACACAGGAATCTGTCCTCTTCCTTTTGCCAAGCCAAACAATTAAGGTGAACAATTAAGTTGTGGCCTAGATGCACTTTCTGCCTCTGCTAGATGAGGCCACAATCCTCATCTGGATCCAAGCTTGGCCCTGGATAAGTATTTTTTCTCTTGATCAGGCATTTTTCTGCTCCCTGGAAACACATTTCCCCAGGAGTCACATTCCAGGAGGTGGGATTTGACAGGTATCAGCCACAAAAGCCTCTTGGACAAAAGAAGTCTGTAAACGTTATCCGAATACCAGCTTTTTTGTGAAAATAATCAGGATGTTGAGAACATTTTTTTTTAAACCTCTTTCCGGAATGTAACTGTTTTGTGTAAAAGAAAACACCTCTTGCTCCTCATTCGGTTTCAAAGTTCTGCCTGCGAATTAAAAGTACAGACATAACGCAGGAGGCATGAAAGCATTTGCAGGCACACGCAGTCTGGGAAAAGCTGATCGGGGAGTGTCTGTAGCCAGGCCAGGCCCTTGGCCGCATTTAGATGGTGCTGGGATAGGTGCTGCTAAAGAACCACAGCAGTCTGTTCCTCTCGAGAGCAGACGTATGTTTACAGGACTGACAGTTTCCTTTTTGTTATAGATTGAAATCCAGATATCCCTAGGACCAAAGGTGGTTCTTATTTCTTTTCACCACACAAAAGCAGGAATACTTGCCGATGTTTTCATTGCAAACGTTATTCCAAGAACAACCAGCTGGCCTTGTTTACAGGGCTGGCTTAGGATAGCCAACCTCTGAAGCTCTTTTGCCTTAACCTGAAGCCCATCGGATTTCTGGTGTAACAGGCTTTCCTTTTTAAAATTACAACTAATGCATATTGTTTTCACAGGGCGAACCTTTCCAACACATCCGTACTTCTCGGCCCAGCTAGGAGCAGGGCAGCTGTCACTTTACAACATTTTGAAGGCCTACTCGCTTCTAGACCAGGAAGTGGGTTATTGCCAAGGTCTCAGCTTTGTAGCTGGCATTTTGCTGCTTCACATGGGTGAGGAGGAAGCGTTTCACATGCTCAAGTTTCTGATGTTTGACAGGGGACTGAGGAAACAGTATCGGCCGGACATGATTATTTTACAGGTAAAGTGTTCCTTGTGTCTTTAAGAGAGCCAAATGCCTAAAGTATTTATGATTCCTTTCCAGGTCTAGCTAGGGAACTCTCACCATCAGACAACATTGTAATAACGGTCATTGCTGGGAACTTACTCCGTGATAGGTTTCATAGGCATTTATCTTCTCAATAACCCTGCAGAAGAGACACTATTATAGATGGCTCAGTTTATAGATGGGAAAACTAAGGCTCAGAGAGGTTATATAATTTAACCAGGTCGCACAGCTAGCAAATGGCAGAGTTGAGATTTAAACCCAGGCCTGTCTGACTCCTGGGTTCCCTTTTAGCCTTCATCAAACCATCCTCAGATGATCTGATTCCTACCTCCCACTGTATGTGCTCCTTCCTGTGCCAGAGATCCCACTCACTTCCACCTCTCAGCCCTTGCCATCCAGAGGTCAGCTCAAATATCACAGCCCAGGAGAAGCTTTTCCTGAGCACTTCGATGCTGTGTCCCCCACTTCCACCCCAGGCACACCGTATCACCTTATCTTGTCTCATTTGTTTTACGTCACACACTCACTGCCTAAAATTACTTATTTCCTTATTCACTTACCTGTTTATTTTCTGACTTTTCTTAGCATATATCACGAGACGGGAGGGGTCTTATCCATCTTGGAGCTGTGTCCCTCGTTCCTAGAACAGCACTGCCTGGGATGAAGTAGGCAGCTAGTCAGTGTTTGTCAAATGAACAGGAGGCAGGTCATATCAAAAGAAAACCAAACCCAGCCGTGTGTTCCACGTGCCGATTCTGCCATCTTTCAAAGTGGGGAAAACTCAAGGTCCTGCTTTGGATATTTCTGAATGATGGAGCACGTCTTTATGTGTTCATTTACCAATGAGATACTGTGATTTCAGCTCTCAGAAGGTATTCTTGGAAAGGGCACTTTAGAGCCAAGGACTTTCAGAGCACCAAATTGTGGTTAAAAATCCTTCTACCTCCACCTGTAAATATGAACCACGTGGACATAAATCTCATAAAAGGAAGCCATTCCATTTGCCAGAAGTTTTTGCCCCTCATAATACTTTCCACACATACTGTTAGGTTCTTCCTACATTCTTCCCATTAGCTTTAATATAGGTGCACGTGCCATCTACCAGAGCAGAATTTTTGAGTTTTGTATAATTTAGTATTGTGACACACGACCTTTTGTGCTGGTGGCCTTGGTGATTAGATTCTTTTCAGCGCAAAAAAGCCATAGCTGGTGCTTAGGACGACTGTGTTGTCTGGCCCTGGCCACAGGCTTCCCCAGTGTGGGCAGTAGATACCCAACTTGGAGCATCTCAGTCAGGATCTGACCCTCTTGGTTATCATTCTCTGGGCTTGGGCCATGGGACGGCTGGAATCTGGGCTGAGCTCTGGGACTCATCGTAGGGCTTCCTGCCAAGACTACATCACACTCTGAAAAGGGAACTTTTTGCAGGTTGAAGTTCAGCTTTTGTTGGAAAAGTTATTTTCTCCATCTTGAGATAAACACTTTTATTCTTTTTTTTTTTTTAACTTGCCCAGGATCTGTATACTTCATTTTAATAAACCTAAAGAAATCACACTTGTCCTGCCTCTTGAGTAATCTGGGGGGTCTGCTAACTGAACGGGCACAATAAAATCCTTCTATAGAATCATCATGTGCCCTGACTTCACTCTTAGCACGGAGGCTGGCTCTTTATTTCTAATTCCCCTGAGTTTGAGTTTTGCTAGGAATGTGTATTTGTGAGAGAATTTATGAAGTGTTTCCATAAGACAGATGTTTAGATTCTCTTAGCCGGGGACACAAGGGAACAGTAAAAAGAAGGAAAGTGGTAGAAGGCCCAGCATTATTACCATTCTGGTCCCCACCTAGCCGGGGCCTCGAGTGCAGTAGGCACCAGGAAGCTCTTATTGGATAAATGAGTAGCTGAGATCAACGGAAATCATGAGCCAAACAGAGTGTTTAAAGTTCTAATAACTGTTCTCTTACATCCCGTGAGTGGGATAAGTAACCGAATACACGTAGCAGATATCTGATGCCTGTGTGCATGTATATATCCTTGCAGATCCAGATGTACCAGCTCTCAAGGCTTCTTCACGATTACCACAGAGACCTCTACAATCACCTGGAGGAGCACGAGATCGGCCCCAGCCTCTATGCTGCCCCCTGGTTTCTCACCGTGTTTGCCTCACAGTTCCCACTGGGCTTTGTGGCCAGAGTCTTTGGTAAATGTGTGCACATCTGTTTGCTAGAACCAGCATTCTTGTGTTAGATGAGAACCGTTTATTGTCACTCCATGGTGCCTCTCCTTATTTTTATACCTGTAACTTCGGCAGGAACGGTACCGTTTGACACCCTAAGTTTAGTTAGTGTTGGGTTGTGAATTTCAAAAGCCGCTTAACTTCTGGTAATCGTTGGGTTACCCTCGGTGCCTTCATCTCGTGGGATTTAACCTGATTCCCTCATCAGCAGGCTCTCCCTAGAGCAGACATCTTGAAGACTTGGCTGAAGAGTCCTGGCGTGAATTCCAGGCGGTATTTCCCATGAATTGTCTTTCTCATCCTCCGTGGCCTGTGATGTGTTCAATGATAGCTCCTTAAAACTTTTTCACCTTTGAGTTCTGGGCTACTCTTCTTTCCAGATTCTCTTTGCACCTCCTCCTCCCATTCCTCCTCATTCCCTACCTTGGCCCTTCATTTTCTCTGCCAACTCACTCTCAAGGACACCTCTGTATCGATGACTCCATCCCATCCTCACAGACCCCTGCCTCATCTTCCCTGATGTCACAGCCACATTGACTCCTGTGCCCCACTGTAAGTAGGTGGTTCACGTTTCAAGCTATCTCTCAATTTCTTGATTTACTTTTCGAGAAGATTGTCTCCATCAAAGTAAAATAGTTGTTCACGTGCAAAGTGTCAAAACTGTCTTGTCCATTATACCTCAATAAAAATTCTTTTTAATTAAAAAATGTGAAAATAACCTTGACATGACAGGAAGAGGTGCATCTTCTTGGATACCAGGAGCCGAGTGAAACACTGAGCACAATCAATTCTTGTATTTTTTCCTACTTCAGAATGAAATCATAATTTTGACAATTCAGCTTCTTTTTATTTTATTTTGTTACCGTGGAGGAAGAGGTTATTAAAAAATTGATAGTCATGATATATCAAGGGGTTTTAAAGTGTCATTTACATTCAGTCATTTGATAGCTTAAAAACCTGTAATCTTACCATACTTTTTTTTTTTTTTGTATCTGTTTTTAGAATTATCATCCTAATGGGAATGTTCACAGATACTGAGAGAGTACTATTTTAGGCAGCTTTGGGTAGATAGCTTGCATGTCCAAATTCTAGAAATCCTAAAAATACTGTTAAACGCAAGTGGGCATTGACTTGTCTTCCCTCTCCTCGTAGCAGAGTACTAAGTGGTATTGTTATTTGCTTCTTTTCGCAAGAACTTTTAAAGAATTTCCTATTTGGCTTTACTAAAAGATTCTATGTTCTTAAAATTTTCACTACCCCTCCCTTTTGTAAAACTCTCTCTCCAAATGGATTATTTTCTGTCCCTAAAAAAATAAACATTGAAGAAAATAGATACTAAAACCTCTCTTTCTGATTAAACAAATTGTTAGCGAGATTTCATGAAGGTTTTATAGTGTAGTTAAACATAACTAAAAGCCTCAAAATTGTCTTTTTAGTTTACTAACAAGAGTCTCAGAAACTATAAGATCTCTAGCTGTAGGCTTCAGTTTTTCTTGCCAAAAATTTCTGTGGGTTTTACTTTTCTTATGCTGGAAATTCAAAGAAAGTCGTTAGTCTACCTTAACTTACCTTTTTTTTATTTCCTCGCGGTTTTTACTGTAGTTTTTCAAACACAGTGAAGGAGAAGAGTGGAGATTGAAAAGGGAAGGAGTGTTGTGAATGGTGTGAAAACAGCTCAGCATTTAATTACACTGAGAAGAAAATTCTACAAAGGGGGCTGGGCAGGAAGGGCAAAGGGGGTCAACACCAATTGTCACTGTGCTGGCACAGGCACCAGAGCTGCTACCCGCAGATTGTTCTGGGGCTCAGATAGTTCTGGGGCTCCAGGCAGTAAAGCTCCAAGAGAAAAAAATCCTAGGCTGCATAAGTTGGTAAGAGGCACTAACAGCAAACCAACAAACTCTGCTTTGGAAATGAATATTCAGAACTCTCTGAAGATCACCCTAATGACTTCATAAATAAAAACTGAAACCAGTAAAAGTGGATGTTTTTTTCTCTATACTATGTAGTCAGTGGTGGGTCTTGGAGTTTCTTATACGTTGTGCGTAAAGATGCCAGTGTCTTTGTTATTCCTAGACTCAACAGACCCCTGCTGTATTAAGTGGGTTTGTGTCCAGCTGGCTAAGGGTTCAGGTCCTTGCGTTATAGACAAGAAGTGGAAACTCAAGGTAGCGCTGTGTTGTGGTGTCATTTTGCAAAAACTGCTGTTTTTTTGCACAGTCCATCCTATCAGTACTTAAAAACAAACTTTTATTAGTAGATTCCATAGAAAAGACATTTTTAAAAAAACCATTCCCATACTTAGCATTGATGACTTGAACTGTGTGTGTTTAGCTCCATGCTGGTGGATAGCTTCGTTTTAAATCCCAAAGCCTGCCATTCATACGCTATAGTCTTTTTTTGGCCCGAAGCCCATTTTGTTATAAGCCTTTAGGCCTGGATAAACTCTTAAAAACAAATGAATCTTTGTTAACTACTCACTATTTTATATGTAAGTAAAGAATTCTCAGCTTGCAGTCAGCATAGCTAGTATATTAATTAATAGGTTCCTTCACATCAAGTATATGCGACTTGAAGGGATAGCTGCCCATGATGTATGTACCTTTACCTTCACCTGGTAATCATCACACTTTTCTGAATGTCAGCCCTGTCTGGGTGTCACATGTTAAATAGCCTCCTCTTGTATTTTTCCAGTTTGGGTGTAGAGGGGTTTGGGAAGAGTTGCTGGCTCTGTCCTCCTTCTAATCATGTCTGCCTCGGGGAAAAAATGTGAGAAATAGGACCTGGCTTGCTCCTCATGGAAGAGGAGGCTGAGGTATTAGGCTTCTGAAGTTTTTCTATAGGATGTGCAACCGAATAAATGAAAGAGGAGGAGGAATATAAAAACTGAGAGTTAGGCAAAAAACACAGAAGCCACTTGTACCATAGGGAAGGATTCAGAGAGGCTTGAGGACTGAAATAGACTGAGTGAACAGGATTGTTCGTCGGGCTGGGAAAAATGGCTTTTTGGGTAACGTGGTAGAGTGGTTGGTGATTAAGTGAGTTTTTGCACAGTCTGTTTGTGCTGTTTTTCTACTGCAAGGCTGTCATCATCCTTCATTTCCCTCCTACCTGTTCCTGGTAGGAATGTGGGGGTGTCACAACTGGAGGACTGCGTCCTCCTGGAGAAAGTTAAGGAGAGGAATTGCCCTTGACAAAGACAAAGGTGGCCGGAGAGGAAATGCAGTATGAGTTTGCTTACTGGCCAATGTGCTTGGCGTTTATCATTTCCCCACAGGAAAATTACACTGTTATATCATGGGGAGTTTCAAATAGAGTTCCCATACCTGTTAACACAATAACAGGGCTGCTGAAGTGTCTTCAAAGGAAAGTAGTTATTTGCGTTGTTCTCAGCAAATAATTTGCAAAGTGGTGGAGTCAGCTGAATTAAGGTTCCCTTTACTTCCTGCCTGATACAACTCTTTGTCTGTTTCTAGGTGACTTGAGAAAGGGAGAGGAGAAAGGAAGTCAGCCACAGTGTTGTGAGCTGGGATGGCTCAAAGCTTTCTTGTGTAGTGATTTTCAAATGTGGGAAGTTAATTCACTTTTTTTTTTTTAAGACAATTCCAGAATGTAAATGTATAAAGATTGGAATATGGGCAAAACTGAAAATAATTGGGTTGGGGCAGTGGGGTTTAAAGGGAAGATTTTTTTTTTTTTTCACTGCTATCTAAATATTATTTAATTTTCTAAATTTCCAGAGGGAGACAAATGCACTCGTTGTTTAAAGAATATAGATGTTGCCCCCCAAGTGTAGTCAGATTTATTTCAGAGCCCCTTCCTCCAGGCAAAACTGTGAGGGGTCTTTCCTTCAACCCTTCAGCCCCATTCTTCACCGTGCACCCAGATGAACTTAGTTCAGCCCTCCCCCCCATTGTAACAGAAACTTCTGGGGCTGAGCTCTCCCATGCTCACTAGTACAGATGACCAGCTGGCTTGTCTTCGGAAGGATGGGCACCTGGAGTGGGCCTCCGCAAGCGCTGGTGATTGAGCGTCTCGCAGCTGCAGCGGGCGCTTTGAGTGTGCTGGAGGCGTCAGCGTGGTCTCGGCAGTGGCTCTTGGAAGGTGGCTTTCCTTTACGTAAAGCTAACTAGCTCTTGCAAGGATTAGACCCATAACATGAATCTTGTTAACATCATCTCCTTACCAGTGCACTGACCTACTGAGAAAAACGGGAAGAGAGCCTTCGGTGAGCTCTGCTGCAGTCTGGGTAGAGTTGGAACGGTGTGGCCTGGCAGAAGGGGATCGGGCCCCATCCTTCACCTGCAGCCCCAGCTCTTCCCTTGCCATTCTTTTTCCTGGCTCCCACACCTGATGTGGTTCTTTCACACTTGCGCATCAATACCTTCTTCTCCTTCTGCTCAGAGTGTTATTCCCTGACTTCTTACCTAGGAAGTTTCTGTTGGTTTTTCAAGACTGGGTTTGGCCACCAACTTTGCTTGGACTTTTTTCTTCTCTTTTGTTCTCATAACACCCTGGGCATAACTCTACCAAACCAATGGTTGTTAGTATCTCCACACTTTGTTCTTTGTTCATGGCTGACTCCCCAGTGCCCAGTACAGTGCCTGACATGTATTTGATGTCCAGTGAATGCTTGTTAACTTAAGTTAGAGAAACTTTTCAGCAGATAAGAATACTCTTAAGGTGTTGGCAATAGCATTAGAAAATAATATTTCTTTTTTTATTACGTTAAATAGTCTGTTAAAACCAATGAAATAAACATAGATTTATATTTGTTTAGTTTTTAACATACCAATAGAGTTAAAAACAAAAACAAAAACAAAAAAAAACACCTCTGCAAACTTCCTTTTGTTTTCTTCAGACTGTCCAGAAAAGTCTGAGTTTAGACTCGTAGGAAACACTGTACTAAGTAGATTTGTTCTAAAAACCAAAATCCTAAAGGAATTAAACTTAGAAAACCCATCGTTGACGTTAAGAGACCACAGATATGGATTGCACATTTGATTATGCTCAAAAAAGTTCCCCAATGATTATTTAATTGCCTTCGATGTGGTACTGTATCTAATTTCAAGATACTTGTCCCTCAGAGACCAAAGAAATTGAGCTGTAGTAAGTCATTGGTCTGATAATGCAGTCCAGTCCCCAGGACCCCTGCCCAAAACATCTTGATATTTATCCTGATAGCTACCATCAGTCTATCCAGCTATAAATGTTCACATACTGAAAGGAAGTCTTAGTGTCTAAATCACAGAATCTTCAAATTTGCTTTGTTTCATTTTTGGAAATGACTTTTCTGTTTAAAAATACATCTTAGTTATAGTGCTATTTTAAGTCTTTTTATTTTCTGTAGTGGTGAATTACGTGGGTAGACTGTGTATTTTATGAAGCAGACGTTTCACAGGAATATTCTTTCATTGCACTGCCTTGATAAACACAATACTCCCCCTAAGAAGCTGAACTTCCAGAGTCGTGATCAGTTCTCTCATTTATCTCCCCAGCCTCTACAGCCAAACCAGAGAGGGAGGCAGCTGTCCGACCTTTCTGGTTCTGTGGGGCCGTCCCGCAACACAAGCGGTTGTGTGTTGGCCCTGAGCTCTGAGAGACAGGCTGATCCCGGCAGCTTCATTGCTTAAGGCTGCACCCAGCCGGCCTTCTTGAAGGCCACAGAGCATCACCAGGGCTCACCCGGCCACTCGGCACCTAGGACTATCCCGTTCGCTGTCCACAGACCACTCTGTCTTAGACATCTTTGTCATTTGCACAAAAACATCCAGCTTTTGCTTTCCTGTTTCTTAATGGCTTTCACATGTCGTCACACTAAACCGCCAAGAGAGGCATAATGCTGGGGATTCTTCCTCTCACCTGCTTTTGCCTTGACTTGATGAAATTGACAACTTTTTGTCTCTTCCATTATCCTTCGGTGTGAGAGAGAGAAGTATTGACAGTTGCCTCTAGTTAGATTTAGGTTCTCTCATCTTCTCATCTTTAAAATTATATCATATATTTTTATTCCAATTGTTAGGTAACTTGCCTGAATTTAGTTACCCAACAAGTAGTTAAGGACTGGGCTTTAATGCTAGGGCAGTTTGTCTCCTTCTGGAGCGGCTTCAGCTCTGTGGGGATGGGGGAGTCAGGGCCTGGGCTGGTTGCTCACCCATCGCCTCACTGTGTGCAGTCAATATTGGGATTGATAACAGAAAATATATATAACATGAGCTAGAAAATAACTCTGGCAAAGTTTTTTAATTCCTCTGAGGAAGATGTTTTTTATTTCATTATTAAGCTATTTTTAAATATTTAATAATGTACTTTTGCAATTGAGTAGACATTTTATAGTTTTTAGAGATTTTTTAATTCAACTCCTTATTTCAAAATAGAGGAAACAGGCATTTTTTTTTTAAACTTTATCTTAAGCTATATATCTGAGGCTGTATACCAAAAAACTTTGTTTCACTCGTAAAAACATATGTTTTAGTAACTCCTTTAAAATCCAGAGCATTCCTGGAAAAAAAAAAAATAGACTAATAAAAAGTAATCTTTTTCTCAATTTAACTTTTGAAGCAGTTTTGAATTTAATATATTTTTGGAGCAAAAAAAGATTTATATGAATCTTTGGCAAAAGCTGAGCAGTATGTTTATCTATATTTCTTTTATTATTTGCAATATTGTCTTGACAACCCTATCTGAAATACCAGGCTTTAAAAAAAATAAATAAAGTTTGCAGTTTGGGGTCATGTTTCCCTCTGTCCTGCCCCATGACATGGGGAAAAGGAAATGGAATAGCATTTCATCAGAAGCTGGTCTGGTTTAACTTTCTGCATTTCTGTGTTTTCCCAGATATGATCTTTCTTCAGGGATCAGAGGTCATATTTAAAGTGGCTTTAAGTCTCTTGGGAAGCCATAAGCCCTTGATTCTGCAGCATGAGAACCTAGAAACCATAGTTGACTTTATAAAAAACACACTACCCAACCTGGGCCTGGTGCAAATGGAAAAGACCATCAATCAGGTATGATTCAACCTAAACCTTCCAAAAGCTGAAGCAATCTGAGATATGTGAACGCTTAATTTTTTTTTTGAACAGGACCTATTTTCTACCACTTTGTATTTTGGACAGCATCTCTTGTGCTGGCATGTAGGAGGCACGTCACAACTATGTATATGTTTAATGATTAAAGGCGTGTCAGAGTGTGCACATGTGAGTGCAATAGTGAGATGCCACATTGAAACATGGTGGCAATATTCAGGTCTGATAACCAGCACAGATTACCGGTAGTTTCTTATGATTAAGAGGCTTTACCCGCCTAGTCATGTGTTCTTCCAAAATACATGCATTTTTTCAATGTGGACTTTTATAAAATAAGTGCTTTGACTTTCCTGCTGTATGGTATTTGGAATTTTTTAAGGATAACTCTGATAGCAGAGTCGTGATAGAGCATATATTTTCTATAAGCTTGTTCCATGGGTGTGTGTGTGCGCGCGTGTGTTAATAGACTTTATTTTCACATCCGCAATTTCAGAACCTCTGGTTTCTGGGTACAGTAGAACCATTACTCTCTGAAACGTTAGGGGTTAGGGGTGAATCGAGCCAGTAATTACACCTGGACCAGTTGTCACAAGGTCTGGGTTAGGAGTGGGAGCAGATTTTGACCCTGTATAAGGAGGTATCTTCCAATAACGATTGCTGACTATGAAGGACTAAGCTGCTTAGCAGAGGGTGAGGTCACCCCTGAAAGTGTCCAGAGGCCAGATGGTTAAGAATGTTCTGGAAGAGATTTCTGCCTCGGGCACTGCAGAGTCAGTAGTAGGGCCTCTCATAAGCCTAGAACTTACCTTACCTGCTCCAGATATCATGAAAACAAGAGCAATTTGGTGAAAACAAATAGTGAAATAAAGCTATTTTTAAAATCCTTGTTCTGAGGATTTCTGTTTGTCCAAGAGGAATCCAGTGATTCTAGTGGATCACACTCAGACACAGCATTTGTAATTTCCTTTGCTGTCCTCCTTAGACGTTGAGCACAGGAAAAGAAGGTGGCCTGGAGCAGGGGAGGGTGTTGTGCCGGGTGTCACTTTGGATCTTTGCACGTTTCACATGCCTGTGTGAGAGAGCAGCTCGCCACTCTGCACATTCATCTTCGGTTCATTGACGGGCTTTGCCTTTCTCTGTGTTTTACTGCCCTGGCACGTTTTCTCGATGCGAATAACTGGCTGGTCGAGGCCCCACTTTTGCCAGGTTCTCTGTGAATCTATAAATACATATGATCTCATTAAATCATGACCGCACTCCTGAGAGGAGAGATGGTTTTAACCCATGAGGAACTTAGGGCTCAAAGTGATTAAATAACTGGCCCAAGGTCACCCAGCTGCAAAGTGGAAAGGGAGGGTCTCAGACTCAGGTCCTCTGGCCTCACGGTGCTTTTGTAGCTACTCACACCCCCAGGTGTCTCTGGGTGTCATTTAATTACAGGCTTTTTCTCTATTTTACCTGTATATTAATACTGAATTCTCCACCCTTTTGATTCCTTAAATTCTGGCATTTTGTACAGAATTCAGAGCTTCCATTGTATATACTTATATTTTTATGGTTACCAGGGCAAACACAGAGACTTGGTTCCCTAAAACCAAGTCTGTGTCCAGTGAGTGCCTTGACCTTGCACAGCTGACATTCAGATTACGTCCTGGATATTGAGCTCTAGAAAAAAAATCCCATTTTCTCATTTTTGTCCCCCTTTCTGTATATGGATACTCGTGTACTCTAAATGTTGGAAAAATGGCCATGGGCACATGGAGAGAGAATAGTTTTGTGTGTGTGTACCTGATTTGTTTCAGGAAGCTGTTTTGAACTTGGCATCCTTTATTCCACTGACTCCTTAACAATTCTGGGACGTATATTATAATCCCTGTTTTCATAGATGGAGAAACTGGGCATGGAGAGAGTAACATGCCCCACACCCTGTGTAATGTGGCAGAGCCAGGAATGTAACGTGTCTCTCTGACACCAAAGCCCATCCTTTGCAGAAAATAAGTGTGTAATCCAGTAATTACAAGTGCGGTCAGAGCTACAGAGGTGCTTGTGTGAGGGCTTATGGGAGCTGGGCTGAGGGAGTGAGTGCTGAGGGTTGAGAGCTGAGGGAGTACAGTTCAGCTGGGCCTAAAGGGATGCGCCAATACGTGTCGGCACACACTTTCTGTACAGGGCCAGACAGTATTTTAGGCTTTATGGGCCATGAGGTCTCTGCTGCCCTTAGTTAGAAAACAGCCATAGACAATATGTATAGGAATAAAGTGACTGTGTCGCTGTAAAACTTTGCTTACAGAAACATGCAGTGGGACAGATTCAGTCCACAGGCTGTAGTTTGCTGATTCCTGATCACAGCAATGCAAAGCCATGGGAGTGAGAAAAGAGAAATTCTAGATGCCTGACGTGTTCAGCTTGTGTGTTTGCTGGGGTGAGGGTGGGGGGCTTGGGGGGACGGTTAGGGACTGAGGACTAGCAGTGTAGTTTTTTTCTACATTTTGGATTCCAGGTTTTTATTCTGCCAAAAGTCTTGACAGGAAAACAGTTACAATGCCAGGTGGCTCTCTGCCCTCTTTCTCTCCCATATTTTCCATCTGGAACTTGACATCTGAGTGCTCTTTCAGACTTTCTGTCCCTCTCACTGCCCTCTCCCCTCCAAGGGGTGCTCTAGTCTAAAATCCTACTCAGAAATGAGGCCTGGGGTACAATATGATTCTTCTGCAGTCAGAGAACCCCCAGGCTCAAGTCTCGGAGGTCCACAGGGTAGAAGCTGAGCAGACTGGCCTGTGGGTGGGTGGGTGGGTGGTCCTCTGTGAGATCTGTTTCATTAAATGCCCTGTCTATAGATAGTCACAGTTGAGCAACTGGGACACAGTCTGCATCCAGGATGGGAGAGACAGTAGCTGAGAACAGGGCTCTGGAACTCTGGCTCAGTGTGGACAGGCCGAGAGCTGAGAGTCCAGGGCAGAGGGAAGAGGGTCTCTGAAGGCCATGTGGGGTTCCTCAGTGTGACTTGACCGTCCGTTGAATATAAACCATAAAAATCCTCTGACTCAAGAAGGAGGGAAACCCTGGGAATAAACAAACTCGGAGGAGGTCAGGTTCGTATTCTTGTCATGGTGAGTGCCGCCTGCTTACGCAGCCTCAGTTCCGTGTAAGGAAGGAAAACAGTGGGGCTCTGGGACACAGGGCAAATACCTATTTTCAGCATCCCTTAGGCTCCTTTCAAAGTATGGCCTGAGCCAGCACTGTCACTGTATCACGTAGGAACCTATTAGAAATGCAGAATCTGGGGCCACACCCCAGGCCTGCTGAATCAGAATCTGCATTTTAACAAGATCTCCTGGGCATTCACACACAGGAGAACATTAGAAAAGCTCCACTATGGGCAACTTCATTGTAAACACACTGGACAGCTCTCTGCTCTAATTGAGCTTGTGTGATGGAAACCAGCATCTTAACAAGGTCCCTTTGTCCAAAAGGCGCTCCTCAGAGGCCGCAGCAAGCTGCCTCTGCCCCTGAGAGGAGCCTTCACCGCTTGGGCAGTTTGCGCTGTTGAAAAGGAGTCCTTTCTATAAAGGCCAGTCAGTGCCCACCAAGAGGATGGGGTGTGGCTGGAGGGGCATTTTATTTTACCACTGGCTTGTTTAGGATTGCTCACACGTGGTGATAATAAAAAGCAGACCAACTTTTAGTTGGGTTTAGTATTGTTTTTAAATTTACTACACACACCATACCCCCTTACTGCCGATACCTGGTCAGACCACTCCACTCTCCAGCCCTTTGGTGTGCCACTAAGACCAACAAGTGGAGGGCAGGGTCTGGGGGTTGGGAAGGTGGAAAGTATGTGGCCCAGTTCTGCAGACATCAGGATTAATGGCTTATTATACACAGTGTCCACAGACTGCAAAGAGAAACGTTGAGTCTCCAATACCACATGAGCCAAGAACATAAACAGACAACTCACTAAAGAGAACACCATTTAGTAAACAAATATCTGGGAAAATACTTAGTTTCATGTGCAATTTAAATTTAAATAACATACAGTGCTTTACCTACTAGATCAACCAAAGGAAACTTTTTAATGCCAACACACAGTGCCAAAGGTATACTGTATCTGGCACATTCATGTGTTTCTAATGGCATCGTATGTTGATTATTCCCATTCGGGAAGCAGTTTTGGAAATATGTATCACAAGCCAGCAAAATATTCATACCTTTTGACTCAGTAATCCCATTTCTTGGACTGTATCCTTAGGAAATAATCCAAAATATGGGAAAAGCCATATGTACAAGGATATTTAGAGTTGTCATTTATAACAAAAACTTGCAAGTAACTGGATATACAACATGTGATGAATAGATTAACATGGTTCTATGTTGAGTTGTTAGAATACCATGAAGCCATTTATAATTACGGTTATAAAGAATATATAACAACTTGAAAAAGCCTTCTTTGAGAACTGGGGCTCTCCTGTCACGACCAGCCACACACTGCCACGATAGGGGATAAATTCTGGAGCATACTGCTAAACTGAGGGCTCTGAGTATTTGGACTGCCAGGAGATAATGATGCAATTAAGCAGAGATGATTATGACCCAAGATGGTTCCTAGGGCTTAATGGAGGCCCGAAAGGGTTTATAGCTTTGGGCACAGTTGAGAGCCATTAACCTTGGCAGATCATCAATCTGTGTAAAAGGCCAGAGGTTTTGCTCCCAGGTTAGGAGCTGTTTTAAAAATGAATCGTGGTGGAAGAGAAAAAGTAACTGTGTATACGACATTTATTCTGCACCATGTTTATAATTACACACTTTATGCCACAGCAATCTCGGTTTTAATGTTGGTGGTTTTTACTCTTTTTGAGCTATTCAAATATTCCATGATGTGGTGTCCTTTGTAATTTTTGCTGAAGCACGAGGTTGAATGTGAGGGTTTCACAAGTGTGTGGAAGCAGGTCTCTTAGCTAAGCGAGCACCTGGTCAACTTGCCAGGCGTGTGCTGGGAACTTCCATGATTGTGTTGTGTAATTCCCACTGTGATGCTGGGAAGTAGGTGGTATCACCCCATGTGGGAGGCCACAAACTGATCCTGGGAAAAATACATATTTTCTCCCAAGTATGTATTTGATGGTGTTCTTGGGCTGACCTTGGAGGTCAAGTAACTTAGTCGAGGTCTTTCAGGAAGGCACCGGTGGAGCCCCGATTTGAGTCTGACTCAAAGTCTCTGAGTCATTTTCCTCCACTGAAAATAGAGCTGATAATCTCTGCTGACCTCAGGTCACTGAGGGAGGACAGAGAATCAGGTGAATACGGTGACCTGTTCACACACACCACAAATACAATGCATTATTTGTTTTTCGTCATAGAATGACTTTTGTGCCTAATTAGTATTATCCATTGAATTAAATCGAAACCCAGGAAGCTGAGAAATTAATCTTAAGGAAGAGAAAATAAGATTGTTGGGAATGGTGAGCAAGTAAACATGGCTTTTGAAAATTGATTTCAAGGAAGATAGGACTCACTGGTGTTTGAATGCTAATAGGGTGTCATCAGAGGAAATGAGTTTTCATTGATTGTAACTCTGTTGGCCTTTCTTAAGGAAATACAATGAATAGTCATTTGTGCTCTTGTAAAGTCTAACTTCATGCTCTAAATGTGTGTTCTGATCGTGTTGGCTTTTTTGATATGGTAACTGAATTCTCAGATTCCCCCAGATCCAAGGCGGGGCTTAACTTCTGTGCTGAGAGGCACAGCCCTGTGGGGTGATCCCACGCAAACAGTGGGAGAGAAAGGAGATGCCTGGGGCCGCAGCCTCTGCCCTCTGCCCTCCCCTTCAGCCCTGCTTCCAACAAGCCCACTCACCAAGAGAAAGTCCAGACTCCAACAACTCACTCACTTGTGCACTTGGGGTTGTTTTTCACACGGGTGGTTTTTTCATCACTGTTACTATTATGGGAAGGAAGGCAGCTCAGGCATTGTTTCGTATTCACTCATCTGTGTGGGTGACATTTGGATTTTGGCTCATTTCTGCATGTCTTGTGTGCAAAGAAGGGTTTTTAGTAAACAGTTCCATTACTTAGCTGTTCTTGTAACTCTGAAAACCCAACTGAACTATAATTAAACTTTGACTCGGTGACTGGGCAAGTAGGGCTATGATTCTTTTGTTTTGTTTTGTTTCCTCCCTTTGACCGATAGCTGATATAGCTAACCTAATAGAATTTTCAGAGAAAAAGGAAATGCATACTGAAATAAGAACTAAAAATAAATTTTTGTAAGCCTCTTTAAAATAAGATTTTGGCTTCTGGAAAATGAGTATCAGAGACCCACACTTAACTGTTATGTTAGGTTTATTTCTAAATGCTTTCTCTAGCCTTTCTTCCCAAATAAAATTATTACCTTCTCAGAGTAGAGCGTTTTCCTTATTTATCGCTAATAGTACAGGCATAGAGTGTTTGGGGGATGCTGCTCATTGACATGGTCGCGCGCGCGCGCGTGTGTGTGTCTGTGTGTGTGTGTGTCTATGTGTGTCTGTGTGTGTGAGATTTTTCTCATTTCCAGTGCCTCATGACTTTTCTGTATTTAACAGGTGTTTGAGATGGACATCTCTAAACAGTTACAAGCTTATGAAGTTGAGTACCACGTCCTTCAAGAAGAACTTATCGATTCCTCTCCTCTCAGTGACAACCAAAGAATGGACAAATTAGAGAAAACCAACAGCAGCTTACGCAAACAGAACCTTGACCTTCTCGAACAACTGCAGGTAGAGCTTATTTACGAAGCACCTTCTGAATCCCGAGTGTGTGGTCGTTCATTAACTCACCAAAGGCAGCAGCAGGCTGAGTTTTCCCATGACCGCAGGACCTTTCTGTCCCCTCTCTGTTTATAGTTGCGATCAAAGGTATCCCGGAAGAATTGGGCCTTTTTATTAGGGAGCAGACAGATTATCCTTTGCTGAGATCACACAGTCCTGGAGCTTTCTGAGAGGCTGCTTCCGCACTTAGCCTTTTAGGAGACAGGCCTCGAGATGAACTTGAGTTCAGGATGCCCTGGTGCTCTTAGCCGAGTCCAGCAATTGTGCTTTGAATAATGATGACAGAATCTGAGGCTTGAGCTTCCATGAGCAAAACTAGCTAGGTCCATGGAAGGATATTAAGGGAGGAAAGTGACACGAAAATCTACCTCACAAAATAAACCAGAGCATGTGATCATGATACATGAGTCCTCAGTGCAAATACAAAGGTTTGATTAACAAAGGACACAGTTCTCCATTCTAGAAGCTTCTATTCTAACATAGATAAGTGTGGATGAGGACCTACTGTAAAAATGGTAACACAGACCCTGCACACAGAAGGGTGACGTGGAGTGAGCACAGAGGTGCAATCTGGAGACCTGGTCTTCCCAGGTCCAGTGTTGCTCACCCACGCTGTCACTCTGGGCAGGCTGCTCACCTGCTCTGTCTCTTATTTGTGTGACAAGGACAAGAAGAATGCTTAGCGTAGCTTCTTTACCAATAAGATGGAACTTTTTTGACATCATAAATAGGTGGTAATGCTATCAGTGTTAAGGAATAGTTTGTGGAGTGTTTAAAAAGATTTTTTTTTTTAGTTTCTAGAGAGAGAAATACATATTTTCCCCCAAGTATGTGTTTCATGGTGTTCTTGGGCTGACCTTAGAATAAGCTTTCCGTCCTGATCTGAGCCTCTTTTTTTTCTCCAAGCTTTGCAGACATAAGCTTGGCGGTGGTATGAGAAAGGCCAGCGTTTGAGAGCCTAAGAAATCAACCCTTGTCTGAAATGCATTTCTCCCAGCAGGGTTTTGTCCCAATAGACCCTAGTAGATGTTTACTATAGAGGAACAAAGAAATGCTTTCCCTTCAGTCCTAACTACCTGTCACCTTCGGAAATTTAGCAGCTTTTCTCCCCGCAAGATAGAGATGTCCTAACTGAAAATATGTCTGTGTACAGTCTCTCTAGGACGTCTCGGCTGTAGCCTGAAGGGAAGGCTCCATGGGATAAGGAGATTTATCTGGCCTGTAAGGGTCTACAGTGTAGGGGGTAATTTTAAATGACTTTCTAACAAACAGTGAGTCCCCAAAATATGACGTAATGGAAACGTTTCTAACAAAGCTCAGATTTGCATTTGAAGCACTCGGCTTATTGAGCTAGGCAATACTCAAATAAAAGGTTCATTTTATTGGGCTCATGTGCGTGTGTGTGTGTGTGTGTGTGTGTGTGTGTGTGTGTGTGTGTGTGTGTGTGTGTTAGAGAGAGAGGGAGAAAGGGAGGGAGGGAGAGAGAGAGAGAGAGAGAGAGAAAGAGAGAGATGAGGGGTAGAGAGTAATTTTATGTTGCTTCTGTGATACTGTCCCTTTTCATGAAGAAAGGGAGTTGTAAAAAGCTGCTCTGATACCTACATTCCTCGAGAAAGGCATCAGGCGGCAATAGTACTGACAGATGCTCTTCCTTGCCCAATGGCTCTACATGTGTGGAGGCAGCCTTCAGGACTGCAGCGTATGCCAGTTCACCGGTATTTACTGAGTTCTTGCTGGGCTGGTGCCAGGGCCACCAAGACCCATAAGACACTGCTGCTCTCAAAGAGTAAGGGCAGGGATTATGTTGCGCTGTGTCAATTTGTGGGTGTTTGCATATAGTTTTCCCATTACCTTCTATGAGTCACATGGATTTACTGTCTTTCAGTATGTTAAGTTCAGACTATGTTAAGTTCTGTGAGACTCATACCTTTTTAAAACAGTTTCAGAGTGCAAGGATAGGTGATTAATATAGTGTCTATTTTTTTAATATAAATCTTCTTTTTTGCCAAAGTATCAAAATTGACCTATTTTCTAGCTTTGTTCTGTCCATATTGTTGTTAGACATACCAAAATGCCATTTATGTTCTTATTACATGCTTAAGAATGTTGTCTAGCAACTGGAGACCAAACTATTAACCTGTTTTGTCCAGTCGCACACATAAGATGATTACATAGACATGTCAGATGGTGCCAAATAATGGAAATACATTTTTCTTAATCAACTAAAAGTCACTGAGCACCAATGAGCTAGGTGCTGTGTGAGGCCACACTCATGTACAGGACAAGACGTGTTTTCTTCCATGAAACAGCTTCAGTCTCATTGAGGAGACCTGACCGTAATACAGAACAGTAAATGACCATGCAGAACAGCTCACTGCTAAGCTGTGCAGCACACCTCAGAACACTGAGACGAGATGGGCTGTGGCCCAGGCCTTGACCATGGGTAAGGATCAGAGAGTACAGCTTGGAGATGCACACCGGACATGCCCACCCCCTGCCTGGTGAGCTGACGAACTTAGCATCTCAGTCTTTTTTTCCTTCTATTTTGAGTGTTCCAGTGGCACAGCCAGAACTAGACTTTGAGTCATGAATTGTCTGTCTGGCACAAGTGTTATCTTGTTCAAAAACTTGTTTTTCCTGTTTTGAAAATGAGGGAGGGGGGAATATATATATATATATTTATGGTGTATATACCATAATAAATATATATATACCATAAATATATATATTTATACCATAAATATATATATACATACCATAAATTTATATATATATTT